GCCTTAAATGCTTCCCATCTAATACTGGCTGTAGTTTCATTCGTATTTAGTTCAAAATATTTATCAATACAATTCTCCATAAATGTAATAAATGCTGGGTCTTGTAACAAATACGTTTGCAACCTCCATCTAGGACAATGCTGAAATCCACCCAAATTAATCTCCATAGATACTGCTGCATGATCACTAATTACTATACTATTATACCAGCATTTTTTCACATTAGACAACAGTTCTATAGAGATTATAAAATAGTCGATGCGTGAGTGAGTTTTATAGGAACTTGAGTAACAGGAATATTCTCTTCTATTTGGGTTTAGCATTCTCCAAACTTCAATTAATCTTAAATCCTTCATATAATCAATTATTGTTTTTCTAGTTTGTATATGAGTTGCATCAATTTGGGTGGATCTGTCCAATACAGGATCGAGAGTACAGTTAAAATCTCCTCCAATAATATTAAATCCCTCCAAAGCAGACACGGTTAAAAATAATTTCTCAAAAAATAATGGGCTGTCATCGTTTGGACCATAAATATTTATAAAGTTAAGCTTTTGTGTCAAAATACTCCCCTGAACAATAATATATCTTCCTGAAGGGTCCTGAATGGTTTTTCTAACTTGAAATGGCAATGACCTATGAATCAGGATAACTACGCCCCTTGCATGACTATTAAAAGTTGCATGAAATACTTGGCCTGGCCATCTTTTATTCAAGTAATGTATATCTGATGCAACCAAGTGTGATTCTTGTAGAAAAACTATTTTAGATTTGAGATACTTTATCCTATTCAATACTTGTTTCAGCTTGGCCAATTTTCTCATTCCACGGACATTCCAACTTGTAATTTTAATATCCAGACTGTCTGTTAGTTTTGTTTTCTCCATAAAGTATCATAACAGTTTGAAATATGGAAGAAAAAAGAAAAAAAGAAAAAATAAAAAAAAATAAAAATGCAAGTGTAAATGACCCCCACCCCCCCAACACACATACACACTCAGAACATCGAACTGTTCGACTTTTAACCCCGGCACTTCCAACTGAAATGCCTACCCCCCCTCCCCTTAAGTGAAAATCTGAGGGACGCTGATCCACCATATTTGAGGAGCAACTAGCCAGCGTAGCTCAGCCCAAGATCCCAACAAAACAGTCAATACCTGTCAACTATGCACATTCAACTTAATATATTGATCTCCCCTTTTAACTGTAAGAATATGTAATTCGACCGTATCAAAACAAAACAATACCCCTTTCTCTAATATACATAACCTACAAACCGTATAGAACAAAGTCAACTCAGTTGTACCCAGTCGGTACGTCGCGCAAAGAAAAAAATAATAATAAAAAAAAAAATTAAAACAAATTATATATATATACTACACTACTTACAGTAGGTAGGCTACGTTATATTTAAAATTTAGCACGCGCCGACTAAATATACTTCGAATTATTTAAACTCACTCCTACTATACATCTCGGTTGTCCGCTGTTATCTACAGATGTTCCAGCATCGTTACATGTTGGTTCAGTAGATCACCCGACTGTAGATTCTACGTTGACTGTGGGATGCTTTTGTAGAATTTTTCAGCTTCTTGCGGCGTTGAGAAGAGATGAATCTTGCCGTTGTATAGCACTCGAAGCTTGCAAGGATTATGCTGAAATCCACGGAAAGCGTTGATATCAACAAACAGTTTCGTGACTGGATTAAATCCCCGTCGAATCCGTACCGTCTCCGCTGAGAGATCCTGCGCAAAGGATATCTTGACCCCGTCGTGTGTGATATCTCGCCGCCTTGATTCACGGTAAACAAATTCCTTCTCCTGAAACTTCAAGAAGCGGATGAGTATTGCTCTGTTTTGGTTGGGCTTCCCAGATGCTAGTGTGCGATGAACCCGTTCTAAGGTGAATGGTTTATCTGGGCTCAGTCCCAGCCATCGTGTCAACATCTCACTTATAAATTCAAGGAGAGGTTTCTGGCCCTCGGCGCCCTCTCGAATACCATAGAGCCGGAGGTTCTTCCTTCTGCCCCGGTTCTCCAAGTCATCAGTCTTTGATTCGAGGTAGGCGATTCTTTTGATGGCTGAATCAAGTGCGGCTTCTGTTTTTTCAAGTGTCTTTTCTGTATCGTGCATGCGGCCTTCAGTCTCCTCAATACGCGCTGCATTAGAAGACACATCTCGTTTTACATCCGACACTTTGCTTTCCAACGCGGCCATTGAGTTCGCCATAATAGTAAGACGGGTATCAATGCTGTCCAACTTCGTTCCGATCTCTGTTCGAAGTGCTTTCACTTCATTTAAAACTTCTGCTAAACTCTCCATGTGGTTAGCTTCCACTTCACTCGGTGTAACGTTACTCGACGAAGTTGTTTTTACGCTGGACTTGCGCGCTCGAGTAAAAATGTCACACTGTTTAGTTGCTGACGGTTTTGACATATCAACGCTGACGCTTTGTTCAAAGATTGGCCGTGTATATAAGGGGTTTTTATATTAAATTGTGCACGGTTTCTCGGAGCTTATCCGCTAAACTGCCATCCTGGTCCTTGCCACGTGACCCCCCCCCCTTCCAATTTTACAATACACATTTTTATTAAAATAAATAAATATATTTTAAATAAAAATATGTAAAATTAGGGCACATCAATGACACTTTTGGTAATAAGAAATATATCATGTTGGTTGTGGAAAGCAGATAATTAACACACACACACACACAGACACACAGGTTTGTTTTTGTGAAAAGTGGGGACATCCCATAGGC